AAAGGAAACTCTGTCTTTACCATAAAGTCCTGTTTTCTCATAGTGTTTGTTGTGACCAGTTAATTCATCCTGCTTCATTTACAGCACACTGTTGTTCTGGGTGGTGCTACCTCCCGTGAGAAGACGACCCTCACTCCAGGGTTGTAGAAATGGCTCCAGCAGTAAGTGCCTTTGAGCACAACAACCACGCCCTCCCTTTGCTGTTGGATGTCCTCTGATTTGTCTGCATTTAAATACACAAACCCTCATTTGAGATTCAAATGCTTTTCAACATCCAGACACACGAGACAATTGAAAACCTTTTGTATCAAACAGAAAAATCGACAAATAGCTTTTTGCTTTTGTCTGTGAACAAACTAGTTGTTTTGTCTGATGCTGTGGCACAGGCATCTCGTGGCAGCCCGTTATCATCAAGTCAAACGTGACAGGAGGGAGGCAGAGGCATTAGATGGAAATAAGTCGTTTCCTGCCTCCCGTTTAGCTCCCGATGGGATGGGGACTCTGAAGCACAGGCCAAAGGGCCACTCCGCTGCTGCTTGACAAGGGGCCTCTGCTTTCTGTCTTATCGCTGATTCTGGCATCTCTTTCAACTTGTGGCCAAAAATACACCTATTGCATCCAGAGGAGTGTCTTTGCATCATGGTATTAGACATTTACAGAATAGTTTTCCCACACTAGTCATTAAAGGACGCACCAGAGTAGGGTGGTGTTTGCAGGATAATTCTGGCACACGCTTCGCTCAAGAGCTCTCCAAAAGGATAGAGAAGTGATCCACTCATCTCCATCCTTCTCTACCCTACCCCCCCATCCCCGCCCCTCTGCCCTGACCACTGCCCCGCTCACCCCTCCTGCTTAAGGACAATGGTCCTCTTTGAAAGAAAAGCAGGAAGAAAGGGGAGCCTGGTGTCACAGAATTGCCTGTTTGCTGATGGAATCTTTAAAAGCAGCACCTCATAAATCAAAAAGAAACATAATAGTCATTGTTTCTCCAAGCGCTTCTTGTTCCAATGAAATTTCCCTCCTTTTTTTTAGGGAGGCTTCTTTGGCAGCAAGAGTGGGCAAAGTCAGAGGTGGTGATTTTTTTTATTAGGGGGTCCTTTTCTTATTGTTTTGGCGCATTTTAGGGGTTTCTTCGCCACTTTCTTTCTCCCTCGCTGTCAGACCATCTCCTTGTTTTATGCCTTTGCAACCCCCAACACTTGATTTTTAAAGAAAAAGCATTCCCTGAGCTTGGATCAGCATAATCTGTCACTATGCACATTGTAACTCGGGACTCCACCCTATCTCCACGCTGCATTGTCATGTTGAAATCGGATTAAACGCAGAGCCATTTGCCTTCTCGGTTCGGATTCTTTTTGTACGTTGGCACAAGGAACGACTAAAAGCTTGCAAGCAATATTACCATTGTGCATCAAGAGAATGACAAATTGCATGCAGTATGTGTCAAAAATGTTTGGTTTGCGCACCTTGATGTGCTGTAAAAACCGTTTGAAGTTGTCACTTTTTATGCATTCTTTGCTTTTTTTTATCTCCAGAAGTGGTTTGCCAGATCCGTCATGCATCTGCATAAAACCACATGATGTATCTGCTTTTATTTCAATGGGCTATTAATGGGCTTCTGGAGACAGCCTTGCACTCCCTCCGTTTGCTCCATTCATCTCTCGGACGTGTCGGCAATCAAGCTGATGTAATCATAATTAGATCATTGGGGCGGCATTGGGATTACCCAAATCTGCCAATTCCATTTCCATAAGGTGTTTTATTGTTACCTAACATTACGTTTGGACAGTTTCTGTGTGCCGCATTTCACAAGCAGGCACTTGCACGCATGCATTCACAGTGAGTTGATGTTCTATGAATAAGCCATGAGCCAAATGGACATGAACTCGATTCCAGGTCTTATGGTGTGTTTGAAAGCTGAGTCTCTGGGGAATGGCTATAGAAAACTGGATGCACAGGAAATGTCAGTCTTTTAGCTTTCAGGTTGTAAACACATTGTGTAGATTGCAAGAGATTTCAGTGGGATCTGCTGCTACAACATTGTCAGTGTTCAAGCCTTAACAACAAAGAGAGGCTTCAGGACATAACGGGCATCTTATCTGTGATACTGTCTACACTGATAGATGGATGCTCTGTTATCTCTGCCTTCCTGTATGTTTGTTGGTCCATGTATGTTTTTTTGAATGAGTTTTTTCAAGTTGGCGAAATACTCATTATTTTTATCACACACCATTGAATTGTAAATGGTGCACAGTAATGTTTTTGCCTGTGCATGCAAATTATTGGATAGATTGTAATGAAGCTCACGGAGTGTAATCACCAGATGTACATCTATGACTCGATTACTTTTAGAATTAACCCTGGTCTTCCAGTGCCAATGGCCATCAGATTTTAATTGTTCCCCTGCTCCAACACACCTGGTGCAATGGCTGAATTACCTGTTCAGCAGGTAATCAAATGCTGCAGAAGCCATTTAATTTAACCTACTGATTTAAAATCAGGCTTGTTGGAGCAAGAAAACAACTGAAGTGGTAAATGGCTTTATATATAGCATTTATATAGCATCTTCTTGGGTCCTATAAACCCCCAAGGTACTTTAAAACACAGTCATTGACTACGTTTACATGCAGCCAATATCCAGGTTATGATCGGGTTAAGGCCGGTATTCGGGTTTCTGAGTTGATCAGAATAACCCGTTTACAAGCATAAATAGAAAGAGTTATCTCTAACTTGCATAACCCGATTTAAATGCGGACGTTGGGGTAGCGTCAGGACGTATGGACTACGTCCAGACGCAATATGCGTCATTTCTGGTTCTTCTTGTTCCGGTATCCGTAAAAACAACATGTTTCACAGTTCGGAAGAGATAGTGACCGCGTTTGTTTGCGCTTTAGTTTCCTCGTCACTCCAAAATTGTGGTGCTGTGCCTTCCTCGTCACTCCAAAAGTGTGGTGCTGTGCCGCGACTCGCCATGTTGCTCCCAACTTGTTGTTTACTTCCGGTGTTCTGGCGCATACAAGACCTCTCGCTACTCAAAAGACCAAGATTCCTTGCGAACAGAGCATGCGCAAAACACACGCTTTGGCATTTACACGACCAAACATTCGGGTTAGAAAAGGGTTACCCCAGGTATAGTAACCGGGTTTTTAAAAACCCGGTTATGAGCATATCCGGGTTTTTGGCTGTGTTCACATGGACCTGCGGAACTGGGTTATTGTGAATATTCGGGTTTTAAAAGGGTTACTGGCTGCATGTAAACGCACTGATTCAGCCACACACACACACATTCACACACTGATGGTGAGCCACAGCTGCCCTGGGGTGCACTGACAGAGGTGAGGCTGCCCTACATAAGTGCCACTGGTCCCTACAACCACCACCCTAAGGCAAAGTGGGTTAAGTATCTTTTCCAAGGACGCAACATTTGAGACAGACTGAGCGGGTCTCGAACCTACATCCCTCCGGTTATAACTGCCACCATCTGGATAGGGGCACTTGAGGACTAGGGTTGAGTTCCCTTGTAGGAGCTAATAGACCTAGGAAACCTTCTCAGTGGAGATAACTCAGTTTAATACAAACTGAACAAAAATCTGGCAAGGCGGAAGTTAAGGGTAACCCATGGCACTCAACAGATTGTTGTTACAGATTCCATTAGAGAGTCTGTGGGAGTCAACTCAACTTTACATGGCTGCCATAGCCCATCTACCGCTTTCAAACAAAAAAAATGTATTCACTTAAGTTTTACAGAGACTAAGCTACAATTTTATTCACTTGTAGTTATTTCCGTTCTGACAGATCATTTTATTGTTTTATTGTTTATTAGGTTATTTTCAAACTCAGGCATGTAAGGCAGCAGGTGATATTAATTCCTTCAAGAAATGCTAAACCTCTTAATTTTTATGAATCTTACAAGAGCATTGAAATAAATAGTATCTGCTTGCTTGCTGTGAGTTCTGCTGACAGTTACCTGCCATATTCTCAAATTACACAGAGTTTGCATGAAGAAGCCCAAAGGGTAAAGTCTGATTGACGTCTGAACGAATCATAAGTATCTGTTCGGGGTGTGTGTGTGTGCGTGCGCGCGTGCAATAACAGCTTTCATAGAACAGTCATATATAGTTTGAGGCACTTCTGTGTGTCAAAAGCCAAAAAACATTGGATCACATGTAGCCCACACAGGCTGGGTTTCTTCCTGGTCTGGGGTCTACAGAGGGGAAGGTGATACCCCTCTCGATGCCACTCAGACTGCTCTTATCACCTCTACCATATTAAAGCTTCTACAGTTTGCCACCATTACTGAAATTTAATGCTGAGAGAACAGAACATATCCACTTCTCCCTAAAGTGCCACTTAATTATGTCTGAACTTCGAATGAGGGCCATTGCCAGCCAAGCCCTCTTTATTCAAGAGATTTTAACAAGTCCTGTCCTCTCTGAGTGTGTATTTTTTCTTTGTGGGTCCATTTTTTGGGGAGGAGCGCCAAGGCCCATGCCTGAGTTAGTGGAGCAGATTGGGTGTTATAAAAAGAGAGAAGAGGTTTTTGATTTAGTCTGACCACTTTTGAACACAACATCCAGTGAGGTCTGAGGAAAGCCAAACTCTGGGGAAAAAACTCAGAGTAAAATTTAGACACACTGTCAAATGTATTCCTAACAACCATGCCTGAAAGGTTATAATCACTGAAACGGTAGAGGCCTTAGGTGAGGAAACTTGTTAAACCCTAACATGGGTGAATTAAAGCCTCACCGGGTTTGATTGCACTGTAAATATTGGTTTTCTGTGTTTTGTCGGAAGTCTGATAACTTCTGAGCTTGTTGATGTTGGAGAGCTGCCTGCACTAATAGGTTTTCAGCCCTATAATAAAGCTAAACAGGCTCAGTAAATTATTGATTGCAGAACACAGGACACTTCTTCAACCTGATTACATTATGCAGGACTTGTCTCCATGTTTACCCTCTCCTAACCTTTTTTGTGTGTCTTCTCTTCTCTTAATTCTTCAGGGATCTGATGCCGAAGACCCTAGAGGGCCAGATCACCATGGAGAAAACCCCCAGCTACTTTGTGACCCGAGAAGCTCCAGCAAGGATATCGGCCATGTCCCGGGACACCAAAGTGATCGTGGTAGTGAGGGACCCCGTCACCAGAGCTATCTCAGACTACACACAGACGCTGTCTAAGAAGCCCGATATTCCTTCATTTGAGAGCCTCACCTTCAAAAACAGGACTACGGGTCTCATCGACACCTCTTGGAGCGCCATCCAGATTGGCATCTATGCCAAACACCTGGACAACTGGCTGCAGTACTTCCCCATGGACCAGATCCTTTTTGTGAGCGGTGAGCGTTTGATCAGCGACCCAGCTGGTGAGCTGGGCCGGGTCCAGGACTTCTTAGGCCTCAAGAGGATCATTACAGACAAACACTTTTACTTCAACCAGACAAAAGGATTCCCGTGCCTCAAAAAAGCAGAGGGAAGCAGCAAACCCCACTGCTTGGGAAAAACCAAAGGGCGAACCCATCCGAACATTGATCCAGAGGTGGTGCAGAGGCTACGGGACTTCTATAGGCCCTTCAACATGAAGTTCTACCAGATGACGGGACATAACTTTGGCTGGGATTGAAGTAGAAGTTGTGAAAGACATTATTTGTTATTTTTATTTTTTCTTTCTATGTAATTCATTGGCAAAAAAAGTGGATATATTGCTATATATATGTAAAATGTACAGAAATCTATTTTATAATAATTTATTTTTATTTCTTAGCAATTAACTCACTAAGCTGCCTAACCAGATTTGTACATAACTTCTGTTACAAGTTTTATTTTTAACATTCCTCATCTTAGGTTTGAATGTTTATTATTATGTTGCTGTTGTTCTGGAAACTCAGTGGAATTATTGGTGCTGCATATTTCAGAGTGTAGGGAGGACCGTAGTAAAATCTGGGCTGAATGATGGAGCAGCACCATCATACGGGTACAGAGCTCTTACAGAGAAGTGGAGGACACCAATCCACGAGCATCATCTTCTACCTTCATCCTCACGTTTAAGCTCATTTATACAATCCACTTTTCATGCATTGGCACTTGTCTGAGCAGCAAACATCACATCCCATTCCACTCAATAACTGCTTGATCAATAAGCCTAATTGATACTCATTGTGTCACTCACTCTTAAAGTATACAGCTGCCCTTTCATTCTCAGCTCCCGCTGCCTGCTCTAATGAACCACCCATCCATCAAACGTTAAATCTCATCTCGGCTACATCAGACCCCATGTTAGCATTATGCTAATCGGGTAAAGGTAATCTTTGGATCAATAAATCCCTAGCTTTCTAACTTCCTTCATTAGAAACGGAGCTGGTTCAAAGCCAAACTCTTGCCCTACCCATTCAGTTCAAAGGTCACACAGAGTCTCAATCAAATTTGTTTGAGAGATATTTGATTTGGAGGGGAGCAAAGCTGAGTCGAGTTTTGAAGGGAGACTGTGTGCCTTGTTTTTGCTAAAAGATGGAGAACCTTTTTTTGTGGTGCTGCAGAAGCAGATCTGCCATGCATCTTGCATAATGACAGAGAACAACATCAACTAGGTTTTGCCTGACTGAAACGGCAGTTTTTCCAAACAGAAAAGCCCTCATCGCTGATCACGGACAGAAGGGATCAAAGGAACAGGAAGGGTTTCTAACCTCTGATGTCATCAGAAAATCTCCTGTGCCATCATGCGTGGCCTAAATACTTTATGCCTTATCCACCTTTGTCGTCCTCAAATTTCTCCTCTCAACACCAAATCTTAAATCTCGACTTGTTGCCAAAAAAGATTTTTTGAGTTAATATCAAGTTTCTGTTTGTTTTTCCCTGAGTTGGCCCATAGTTGCTCCTCTTTCTACTTGAATTCTTGATATGCAAGAAGATATGTGGTTATCAGTCTTTGAAGCGAAGTATCTGCAAAACTATGCTATGCATGTTTCGTGTGTTGGCCATTATGTACATGCAGGCATAATGGAAATGGATTGTCAACATCCAGAGAAGAGTCTTATGTGCTTAAGTGAAGCCCTGACTGAATGTACACAAGCTATGCTCACAGAGGTCCTCAGATCTGTCGTAAAAAGGTTAAATGACCACTTGGTGACAAGTTTAGCTTGTTCATCTGTTCTTCAAAGTTAGGGGATTATTGTGCCTCTTTAACTGACACAATTAGCCAGCATCTTTCATGCAAAAAAAAGATTAATTAGCCCATGTTTTCTAGTTGAATCCACCTCAAACTAATGGTTAGCAGGGAAGAAAACGGTTGTTACAGTAGTTTTAGTTTCCCTTCACTCAAGCTGAGGGAGAAGTTTTAGATCAGCCTTCTTCACCCTCCTCTCTCTCCTTTTGTGCAATGTTTAACCATAAAAATGGCAAGCATTTATCGATCAAGGTCAGACATTTTCCTTAAAATCTAAAGTACTGCTTTCTAAATTCTGGAGAGTTCTGAAATGAGAAATGTAATCCTTTGCAGTCGTAAGTGAACTCCATTTCGCTGCTTTGGTTATGGTTGAGTTTTATTCAACCTGTTTTGAGATCTAAAAATGACGAAAAGGTTCATTTTATCTGCATATGATATGTATTTAGAGTTAGCTGATGAAAAAGGAGAAAGTCTAGTATTTTGCGGTGTGTACATCAAAGGAATTATTTTACGCAATGCAAGAGCAAAATGGAACTGATGTTTCCAGATGATTCAATACAGAACGTTCATAAAATTTCTTTGAAGAAATAAATAAAAGTATATATTTTACCAGTTTATTGTGTTTTCTTTTTATTTATTTAACAGAATTTTTAAAATAAGTCCAAATTTGATGTGTTTATTAAATATCCAAAGCTTTGCTCAAAAGCACCTTGGCTGCAGCAGACTGAAGTGTTGACCTGTCCACAGGTGCCTCCTGCACCACCTCCTCTCGGCCCTATTGTGGAATCAGCAGCTTCAGAAAATGAATGCTCACCATTTCAGCCTCCAACCATTATGCCACAGCTGTCTCAGGATACTAAGGCCTAGTCCACACATAGCCGTTTAAAAAAAAAAACCGAATATCCGCCTCACCAAAAACTTGCATCCACACCACCTCGTTTAAAAAAAACTGTCCACACGTTCCCGGATAAATACGTTGTTAAGGACATGCCAAACCTGTAGGCGGCAGTACTTCCCCCGTTCTTAACCTCATCCTTTGTCTGTGGTCTTCCACAAGGAGCAGTAATTCTGCTTGCAAAAACAAACAAGCAAAACGCGCTTGGACAATTGATAAAGCGAGCGCAGCTCTGAGGGCATCCATGCTGTCGGCTAGTGTAAACACAGGTCGCACACGTGATGTCAGCATTATTTTGTCGCGGAAAGTGACGTTGCGGACCTTAAAACTCCGGTTTTGTCTGTCCACACGCAGACACCCAAAATGGAGAAAACGCAGATCTTCACTTTGGCCGGAGTTTTTAAAAAGATCCGTTTTTGTGTGAAAAAACTCCGTTTTCATGTGGATGACAGGGCAAAACGTAGAAAAATATCTACGTTTTGGAAGATTCCCGGCTACGTGTGGACAGGGCCTAAAGGTTCAAGTTTTAGAGAGAATTAAAAATTAACACTAAATAACTGCTGCGCCTATTGTATGATGATTTTATTTATTTGAATAGCACAAAGCACATTGAATGCACATAATATGTAAATTAGCTGGAGTCAGCAAGAAGTGCTGTAGTCTCACACACACACACGGTAGACACATTAACATGAGCAAAAGAGGCAAATTACACTCAATTAAAACAGAAAACCCATAAATTAAATAATAATCCCAACGATCAGTTGGACCAAACTATAACTAAATGAGCCAACTATAGGTTGTTGTTGCACATGTGCTGTTTATGTCTATTAATAAATAAAATTCAATGCACTTTAAAAGGCATAAGGAAATGTTAAATTTTTAAACTTGCTTATGGAAAACTTCACCTATGAGTGTTCCTGATGACTTTCAATGACAGAATAGTGATGTTTCCAGGAGCATTTTCCCCCTCCAATCATCTCATTAGCTGCAAGAAAGTCAGGTGTTCTTCTGGAAGTGTTCCGTGTCCATCAGCATGGTTCTACCAGCTGGAAACATGCGATCCACATCATTGAGATGAGCTGTATGTGTGAAGGTGGATGCTTATTGGTGTTTTGTTTCAGCTGTGGAACATCTTTGAGGTAACAAAACAGTTGATAATGCATAAATGAGATTAATTGGCAGTTCAGTTTAAGCAAAGTCTTTGGCTACACCCGTGTTCTGCTGCAAAGCCTGTTAAAGCTATAAGAACACTTTAGAGTTCATTTTGTTTGTGAACTGGAATGTTTATGAATGAAACCATGAACTCATGGTGGTAAGTCTGCTGGGTTTTGTTGGCAAATTCAGCAAAACAAACAGTATTTACAAAGGTATGATTTATTCACATCTCATCATCACTTTGCTGCTTGATTTACTGCTGCACTCCAAACCTTTTGTTAACTTGACTCAAGTGTTTTATTACTTTGCTGCTCATCAGCACTTTATCTTTTAGCTGCAGGGGCTGAAGTGTTTAGCTTTTAAAGTTACATAACTATCTGCAGTACTTTATCCTTCTAGATTGCTGAGTAAAGACTTGTTTTTATGGACAACCCTGAACGTCTTCAGTCAGAGGCTTCTTCAGTTTCACTGCGACACTGACCGCTACTGGAAATCCTTCCTGCCAACAGCCGTTGTAGTATACAATAACTCTTTGATGACTTGATTATTATTATTATTATTCTCAGCTACTACAGCAATCAATTTCCCTCTGGGATTAATAAAGTATTTTTGAATTGAATTGAATTGAATTTTTGGTGTTGCATACAGGTTTAGAAGATGCAACTGCCCTTTAATGCTGTTTAGAATGTCTCTTCCTAAATATCAGATCTGTTTTGTAACTAGTTAGTTAGATGCGTGCTTGCAGAGGTTGTTCCGAAATCTTTATTTTGTGCATTCTGTGCTCAGGCATTCATTTCATTGCATGGGTGAGGACTCCGCATTGTATAACCCACAAGAATAATCAGACCGGATTAGTTTTAGATATAACTGGATGTCATCAAGTTGGAATTTAAGACCAAGGGCCACACTCCTAATGGGCTCGACACACGGGAGGCGACAAACAACCGCGATCAGCGAAATTTGTCGCCGTCGCTTTTAATACCTGACACACGGGAGGCGATCCGTGGCAGCAGCCAGCGGATTTGCCGTCTACGCGTTTTGTTCCTTGGCGAAATTGAAACTTCCGTTGTTTTATTTGGCTGTGTCAGGTTGGAGGGAATTAAGGTTATTTAAGCGATTCGGAGTTAATAAAGCGGTAGATTTGATGTTTCACAAGGTGCTGCTTGAGTTATGTGAAATCTTACTTCTCATTTTACTATAAAACAATAATAATCCACTTCTCCTTCATGTTTACTCGGAGATGTACGGAGCATCCTGTCCGCTCATTGGTCAGTGAATGAAACCTCCGTTGATCGGTCCTCGTCCGAGCGACAGTGATGAAAAGTTGAAAATGTTTCAACTTTCTGGGATCGCGTCGCTGGGTCGCCTGTACACGACACGTGCACGAGCGCAAAATTTCACACGCACGTTTTTCGCGTTTCGCTTGGTAGGAGGGAGACCCGCGATTATCGCTTTGTCGCGCATGTCTAATTGAAAATGAATGGAGGAGAGGCGATGTCGCCCATAATATTTGCTGCTTTTAAAATCACACAAACTTACTGAAACATAAGTTGCATGCTGCTGATTCGTTCAAATAGTTAGACAAGCAGCTGGTTTGAGCAAAGCCCTATTGGCTATTGCGGAAAATACATTTGAACCAAGTGCTACTTTTAATAATTTGATTTGACAGCTTGCTCCGAACGAGTGTGTTTTTAAGGCACTGGTGAGAGGCCTGTGTTTTGCATACCCTAATAAAAATGACTAATCATTGTTCTTGTGGTCAGACAGGTGGCTGCACAAGCAAATTAGTGTTCTATTTGAAGCTGCACGTCGACACAGCTCTGCCCTGCCTTAACAGAGATGACTCTTAAGGGTTTGCATGAGCTGATGTTGAAAGAACAATTAAAATGTATGCAGAGTGCTAAATGGCCTTTCTATAAGCTGACGAGTACATAACTAACATCATGTCAGTTCATTTTTAACTTGGACTGTTTTTATTTCATCTTAAAACAAATCCAAGCAATCTGAACCAAGAAAGAAGCAAATACTTAAGAAACTGGAGGCCAAGACATATTTTTCCATCTACGTATTTGTTAGGAAGGATTTATGCAATGACTTTATCGTCAAATACAGTAAAAAGTTATCTGGATTTTTACCGTATCACTCAAAAAGAGGCCAGATTGTTGTACAAATAGTAATAAAAGCCTGCTGACTCAAATGCTGTTTTTTCTGTTGGTGAGTAACAGGTATTTGTGGATTTTACAGTTGTTGTAAGACACTGTTGGTTTTTTTCCATTGAAAAGTTTCTTCTCAACACTCTAAGCTTGTGTAAATGATTATTTTTGCTGTAGATGCCATGGGAGGGACTTAAGGGTAATATAAATTCAGACCTACCTACTCCACATCGTGGAACAGAGTAAGCTTATCAAATTACGGTACTTTTTTAAAGGATCTCATCTGTACCCCAACTTTAATAAGTCTTGAGGGACTGATGGTGACATGCTTTTTTCTATGCTTTTAATGCATTTATTCCAATCTGTTTTCTAGATCAAAAGGGTTTGGGTTCTAAAGGGTTAAGATGAACAAATTGTCACCTTACATTATAAATTTACCATCTTTTCCTCAATCTGCGTTCAAATCAGTTTTCTGTCCCTAAGCTGCATTTTTGTCTTCTATAATGAATATTCCTAAATATGAAAACTATTTTAGATACTCAAATATAGATATAAAAAATCAATCCTTTTGTTATATGTGAGTTTGAAACTGAGGTAATAAAATGGTAAATGGGAATAGCTCTCCCATTTCAAATCAAAATCTTCATGTACCATTTGCTTCTTCAATATTTACTCGTTCTATGAAGTGTGAAAAAGCTGATTGATATGTGACTGAACTGGTGTGATTAAGTGCACCACGAGCACTGGTTTTCTCCCTCTCTCCCTTTGGAGGGCTGTCAAGAATGTCCTGGCAAATTTCTTTGTTTTTATGTTGACGGCTCAGTGTGGCACTGTGGTTATGAAAGTGGGGGGTCTGTGTGGGAGGTTTGGCTGCTGGTGGTGGCGGGTCTGCTTGAGTATCGGAAATGCCCCTCTCTGGCTGCCCGCACCTTGGCTCCCTGTGAAAGCAATCAGTGTTTCTTTATGGCTCGTAATGAGAAAACACCTCCAGGGGTGTTTGTTTATAAGCCTCACAAACACCTTGGTGTATTAACAGGGTGTTCATTCACAGCTTCAGAGGGGATTTGTTTACAAACCATCCACAAACACTGATGCTAATATCAAGTTTCTGTTAAGTTGTCTTGATACTGATACATTTTTGCCAAAGTGCATGTCTCAGCACAAAAATTATGCTGGATGATTTTTGTTTTATCAGTTCTGTTAGTAGAGGTTCTCAAGCTTCACATTCAAGGGTTAAAATCAGATTTCTAGTTTGAGCATCAAGGCCTGCAGTGTGAACGTAGCCTAATGGCTGTAGAGTTTAGCATCAAACATTTTCGTTTCTGCAGAAACAAAATAAGTCTGCAGAAACTAGACAGGTTAGTTAGATGTGCTTCTGGCATGCTGCTTTTCTGATTGGTTAAATACCA